TCCATTGATCAGCCCTGTGCCAAGTCTGAAGCAGCTGCCTTTGTCTGGTGTCCACAGCTCCATAGTGACAGTAGTTGACTGTCCGTGGAGTCATTGTAGGAGGACGACCACTGCAGCCCTGATCAGTGCTGCTGTGGCTCCTTGTGGACCTCCTGGTTCCTGCTCACACTGGGCTGCACTGGGTTCTAGCTGCTCACTGATGTTCTGGATCCTTGTCCCTGACCAGTGCTACTATGGCTCATTTCTATGTTGGGGCTGGTGTTTTCATTATGTCTTCTTCACGTGTTGTCTTTTGACTGATCCGAACATATTCTACCTTTCATTTGGCCTTTCAGTAACATGTCTCAGGATGTTTTCACTGCTGTGGTGTGCTACATGTTTTATTCTGTGTTTAGGTTCACTTCTTTCTAGTTGGAGGATGTGGTTATGTGTCAGCCATCTTTGTGTTTAGACTCTGAACCAGCAGCCTGACCATGTGCAGCACTCTCTCATTCATTCCTTCTTTCCTAAAATGTGCTGACAGCAGCTCTGTCGCCGATGATGATGAGGAGTTAGTTTCTGTGCTCTTCATCTGTCAGAACATTTAAAACAGTGCCACGGCATGACTGGTCCAGATGTGTGGTACCATGGTTGTGTGTCTGTTGTGTTACCGTGTTGGCGAGCTGCAGTCCCGAGTCCATCAGCGTCAGAAACTCATCGTTCAGACTCGACTCCAGGCTGATGATGTCATCGATGACTGTGTCGTCCACCTGATGATGTAATCATAGATCAGCGGCTTGAGATGAGTCAGACTTGATCAGATTTGCTCTGACGCCACGATGATGTAGAAACACGGTGAGGCGGCGGCGGCAGCTACGACTGACAACTTTACATTTTGTGTAACGTGCCGATGCAGCCAACAGGAAGATGTCCGGCTATAAGCTCCGCCCCCGTCGCCGCCTGACCAGACTGCTCACCTACACGTGCTCTGAGTCATCTGTGATGATGTCATACCTTCTTATCACCTGCAGAGTTTCTGTTCAGGTCATGTGACCTCAGAGCAACACCTGAGCAGGCGGCTGCTGGGTCCTGAATTACTGTGATCATGTTGTTTCACTTTGTTTCAGTCTGTTTGTAGTCAAACAAACAAACAAACAAACACACATGTTCTGACAGAGAGGACATTTTAACATGTTTTATGTGTTAAATGTTGAGTTTAGTGATTCTGATTGTGGTCCAGGTCCCACACAGGATCCAGAGTGTTCATGTTGAGCGTGACCACAGCAGGAAGCCGTTGGACTGAGTCAGATCCTCTGGAACAGCCGACTCAGCAGACTGACTCACAGGAACTCTGCGGCTTTGAACAGAACCGTCCTGGGTCTGGGAAACGTTCACTGCAGCCCTCAGACTAACTGAAGAATAAAGTATGTCTCCAGACTGTCAGGCTAACTGTGTATATGTTTGTTTTTGTTTATTATATGTGTTTGTTTACATTTCTTACTTCTTGTTTGGGACCCTCTGACTGTTTGGGGGCAGAGCCCAACTGGAGGGCGTGACTCTGCGGTGGAGCTGGCTGCTGACTGGCTGTCTTGGCGGTGGACAGGTACTGGCGGACTTGCTGCCTCTGAGCCTGCTGGATGTGATACCTGGTGGGGTTCTCCAGGTGAGTCTGCACCTGTGGACCAGACAGGGAGGACGTCAATCACTGCAGCTGCATCATGGGAAATGTAGGAAGTAGGGATGCACATTTTTAACCACTTCCTTAATTAATAATCTGCACCCTTGACAACCAATAGTTGATTAATCAATTACATGAAATCATCTCAGGCAACATTCTGTATCACAGCGTCTCTGCATTGGATGGAGTCATGTGACCAGCTCGTGACCTGGGCGATGTCACACATCAACCTCCTCAGAGTCTCTGTCATGGTCCCGTTGCTGCTAAACTCCCACAATGCTCTCTGCTGACACCATGAGCTGTAGTCTGTAGACGCCTCCTCTGGTCTCTACAGGGTTAAGCAGTGAGAGGCTCCACCTGGTGGAACAACCAGGTACTGCAGCTGGTCTATGGCACGTTTACTGACATCACCTTTTTCTGTTTTGTCAGTTAAAATATTTCAAACTGATTAAATGATTGACAGCAAATTTTCAAATAAGAATTAATCATTAGCACCACCTGTAGGAAACAACAAACACAGCAGAGCTGAATCATCCTGTGATGAGTGGACTGACAGGAGTTCAGCCCTCTGTTCTGCGCTGCACACTTTTTCAAAATGAGTTGCAGACTTGATGCTGCCAGTCTCGAGTCATGTGTACCGTTGTGCTTGGATCCGTACCGACATAAAGCACTCAGAGGCCTCTCCTCACCTCCCACCACATGCGCTGTGAAGCCCAGAGCGAGATACGCCTCGCCGCGTTTTCTACTGTGTTTTCTTGAGGTTGTATCTTGTTCGTCTCCTGTTCGCCTGTTTTCCTTCGTCCCGGTCAAACACCCTGTGAACGACTGACAGCTCGTCGCTGTGGGCGAAGCAGCATGAACCAATCACTGGGGACGGTTACTATGACAGCGCAGCTTGTTTATTGTTGTGCGCCGCGAAAAACAGGCCGACGTTAAAACAACGGCTCAGCACATTATTGCCTCGTAGACGGACCTGTTCCTGCCTGTCACTCGCCCCCGTCGTGCCTCTGTGCCTCCACAGGGGGCGCCACACACTGAGAAACACTGATTTACTGTAATAGAGGAAAAGGAATACAATATATTTTTAGTTCCTATTAAAGATTACTCAAACCGACTAATCGATTATCAAAGTAACTGTAGATTAATTTGATGCTTGTTGTTACAGCTCTAATCAGTGGATGGATGATTAAAGCTCTGCGAGGTGCAGCATGTTGTTATCAGAATATTGGAGAATAACAGCCTGAAAAAGTTTAAAAGTCTGATTCAGGGCAATGAGTTCAATGCTCTCTGGTCAGCTGTTCTCTCACAGGTTCCTCCGCTGTCATACCTTGAGAACCTCCACAGGAACCTGAGCAGGAGGTCTGCAGGACGCCAACACACCGACAGGAGACGAAGAGTCGCAGCGTCGCAGCAGCTGCTGCAGCTGAGCCTCCTTCTGCTGCTCCTGCAGCGCCTGCTGACGCATCAGGTCCTGGCGCAGCAGAACCCTGCAGGAGAACCCAAGAGAACACAGGAGTAGACAGGAGGAGAACATGGGAGAACATTATCAGCAGTTCTGATCTGTCTGTGCCTTCTGGAGGCCCAGAGTAAAGAAATCACAGAAGAAGAACTATCACCTGGACGACATGACCGCCGGCAGCGAAGCAGAAGAAGACGAGGATGCAGAAGACGCTGCTGACGAGCTGCAGACACATGATGACATCATCAGTGACATCACAGACACCAGCTGACCCGCTGACATGTTACAGGTGTTACCTGATGCTGATTGGCTGACTTTTAATCTCGTAGAAGGTGTCGCAGTCTGACGGCAGCAAACTGTCGACCTCAATGTCGGCAATGATCCCAGACTCCACCCTGATCGACCAATCAGGAGACAGAAAGGGTTTGAGCTCACACCAAACTTCATTCTTAATCTGTTCAAGTGTTGTTCTCCTGGGTCCTTACAGAACAAGTCGTAGCGATTAGTTGTAAAGTTCGGAGACAACTGCTCACGTCTGCTTCCAACACAGATTAACATTTCATCCTATTGGTTTTATTTTTTTACTACAGAGTTTATTTTGTGGATGAGTTTGGGGCAGTTGGAGATACTAAATTTACCAAAGTAAACACAGATTAAAGAACAGTAATGATCATTTCTCAATCCATCCATCCATCATCTCTACACCGTAGTCCTCACTAGGGGGCGGAGCATATGGACCACCTTGAGGACATCAGCACTCAGAGGTCAAAGGTCAGAGAGTACCAACAACCACCTGCCAGTCATCCTCATCATCTTCATCATCTTCATCCTCATCATATGACCTATTTATCTATGAACCCTCATGAAATCAATCAGTTACTTAAACTCCAGGCATGTCTGAAGGACATTAAGGTCTGGATGACCTGGAACTTCCTTCATTTAAATCCAGACAAACTGAGGTTCTTGTATTTGGCCCTAAACACCTCAGAAACTCACTATCTGCCCAGATAGTTACTTTAGATGGTATCGTCTTAGCGTCTAGTTCCATAGTAAAGAACCTCGGGGTTACTTTTGACCAGGATATGTCCTTTAACTCCTTAACCCAATTGGGGGCCTCTCGGGTTTTACAGAAAGAAATAGTGTGAAACAAAGCACTCATCATGAAAGAATATAGTGATGTTATACATCAAATTAAACAGCAGAACCTGGGCTACAAGCACATATCAGCCATTTCTACATGCCTCAAACACAACTCAAACACCAACTAAAGTAATTATCAAATACGGACATCGCTATAGCGCCACCACGTCAACCCACTCGTCACATTTCTGGCTCTGTCGCTACTGTACGTTATGAAAGGCGCACAACCTACCTCTCAAAATGAAGCAGAGAGTCCCCAGATTCTAAACATGTCCATCAAAGCTCTCTAAAACCAAAGCATCAGTGAGAAACAACCCAAAGAACAGCAAAAACCGAAACCGCTTCGTCAAACTGTAGTTGTAAAATGTCTCTTACCTTAGCTGTTTTGCCGTGAAAAGTTTGTTTTATCGGTAAATCCACACCGGAATCAGTTAGTACTACTTCCTGTGCCACACGGAAAGCACGTCACACGTCTCTGGGAGGTTGTGTGAACCGTAGGGCACTTCGGCAAAGTGAATGAGGGAGCGAGCGGCGAGAATACAAGATGGCGGTCTACTGATTCTGATTGGCTAAAAGTGCTGTCAATCTCGTTTTGGTGGCAATGGCTATCTTCTATTGGCTCTAACGATTCGAAGGAGGGTTCAATCACCGAAATCGGCCGAACCATCACGGAGATAGGGCGTGCGTCATCAAGGGAGGTTCACGGCACGGCCAGTCGCCTTTACGCACAGGCTGCGTAACACAGACAGCGGTCTGGTAGGATTAAAAAAAAACTAAAACACTGCTGTATTTGGATGTATTGGACGCCATTAGTGAAATACAAGTGAAATATCTAGTTTGTACATAAGAACAATCAGATGGTCACCAGTGTGCCAAAATGTGTCCAAGTGTCCAAAAATGTCACCTCGCCTGAACTGTCTGGATTAAAAACTTAGTAATTTTGTTCTACTTCACTGTTTCAGAGTCAACCTTTGCAG